TATAAATATATCTAAATATTAAATGTTCTTAATTTATTTTTAACTCGTAGCCCTTTTATTTATTTATATAAAAATTTTAAAAAATAAAATGATAATAAAATTTATTTTTTATTACTGTTTTACTAATGACTAAAAATTAATCTGATTCTCTTTGATTTATTCTATCTAAAGATTTAGTTTAGATTTGAAAATAATCAGATTAATCATTTTATCAGATTATCAAAATAATCATGTAGGAATCCTAAGCATGATGAGCAATGCTTGTAAAAAGTTTTGTCATTTTAGCAACTAGTTTCAGCGTCCTACATAATTATTTTGATGATCCAACAAAATTATTCAAATATCTATCTAGCTAAATTGTTAGACTAGTAAAACTATCCTATTTGAAAACAGAAATTAGACGAATTCTTTAAATGTTGGCGTAAGTGAAAACTCATACAATTTACATGCTCTTACGCCATTAAGGTAACTTTATATAATTTACGCGTTTCTTGAAAGAGAAAGGTACAGAAGACGTTGAAATTCACATTGCTATTAAACGAAAGTGAATCCGGTATATCCGTGCGAACCACGACATGAACCCGCTGCATAATGCGAATTCACGCCTTACAAACACCGCATCATCCACCGCGATGACCTTGACGTGACCTTCTTTTGAATTGAATGACCTTAACAACTTCGTCGGAGTCTCGCGAGGGCGAATGTGAGCGTCCTTTGCCCATGATGGAAACCGATTCCCGAAGAATGCGTTATATTACCGGACAGCATACAAGCATTAAAGCCGGATTTAATAAGCGGTTTCGTCTTTCGGTTAACGTGCGATGCAACTATTGATTGGAGGTTTAATTAGTATAATTGGTGTCGACCGATGGCTAACAAAACGTTTCGAGATTTATCGTCGATAGCTTTGATCAAAATCATCGACAGCATTAATGAACGCCAGACATTTTGCACTTGTCAGACAAAAGCAATGATATCAACTATAAAGATGACGACTATATAAATATATATACAAATTTTATATTATTCCCTTACTTTAAAAACTATTTAAAAAATTAACAGTATCTAATACATTAGAAATAAGATAATACAATAGAAATAAGACTATCACATAAATAAGTCAATTAAGTAAGTAAGAGAAGCCATTTACGATAAAAATCAGATGTTGGAATAATGTGTATATGTCTACATATATAATAGCTAATTAAATTTAAGTAATATTTTTCGCAATATAAGTTTTTTACAGTTTTGAAGATGTTAGTAGCATCAAACTAACGATTTAATTAAATTTGAAGATTTTGTTAATATTTCGGATTGATTGTATTGAAAGTTCGAAAATAATTGAGGCGCAATCATATTTTTTAGATAAAAATTTATTTAAAATACATATATGCATTAATAATTTAATCGTAATTGGCGCTTCTCATATTTAGTTGATTTATTCATATAAACATATCTCATATTTAGTTCATATAAACTCCTCTTTCTTAATCTTAATTATTGTAAATAAATTTATGTTAGATACGCTCATCGATCATTACTATAAAACCCGATTTTTCATTACTTGATTAACTTGTGATTAGGCTTAACCTGATATTTTATCCAATGGGCTTCATCTATGATGATGTCATGAATGAATTGGATGTATGTGAAACATCAAATTAATCACAAATTAACTACATAATGAAAAATCGGGTCTAAGTGGCGCTTCTCTTACTTACAGAACTCAAAAATGTTTTCACTCTGCCTTTGCGTGATTATTTTGGGACAATAAAAAATAATCTCTGTGAAGAGCCATAGACTTGTCAAAAGATGATAAAAGTGCATTTTTTTGAGCATTTTTCGAAAAAATTGTGATTTTAGAATTTTAGATCATGACGATGTTGCTTTTGAATAATTTGAACCTATGAAAATCAATATCAAATATTTGTAAAAAACGACTAATTTTTGTATATGTTGTATATTAAATCTGAAAATTGAGTAAAATAGTTTTTGAGAAAATTAGCTTTTGTCAAATTCTCTCTTTCTTTCAAATCAAATTAGAAATAGATGTATGTATCTGACGGGTGCATCCGAGTATATGATACTTCTTTGCTCTGTAGATACACAACGTCTGCTAATTTTTTCAAAATTCACTATTAAAACACACTATTAGTGTTTTTGGATCTAATATATTAAATATAGAAGGAATTGTTGTCTGCACTGTTGGGAAATTTATTAAATTTAATACATTTCAAATGTATTAAACGGTCCACTCAAATTTTTGTATTAATTTTACACAAGATGAATAGATTATAAAATAACACAAATATTATGTAAAGAAATTAACACAAAAAGTGTTATACTAATACAATAATTTATAAATAAACTGTGAAAGTGTATTTTCTCAGTCAAATTAACATTTATAATATGTTAAATTAACATAATTTATTTATTCATCTCAGAATTTGTTTTAGAATATCATATTTTTGTTTATTTAATCATAAATTATGTATTTACTCAATAAGAACCTCGCACTAATCCTATATGAAATTGGGTCCCGGTAAAATTAAATAGTTTTCTTATATGTTACAGCTTATGACCTGCTAACAAAACATATAAGCAAAACATATAAATATTAGCGCAAAAAATGAACGATTTTCATGTTCAATTAATCTACAGTCGCTGACATCTCACCATAAAATACTCAATAATTTCTAAACGGCTGATCTAAAATGAATAAAATTACAATTTTGAAAAGGTCTCAACAAGAACTACAAGAAAATGAAAAAAAGTGGGGAATCTCACTTAAATTCAATAAAAACAATTCGAATTGACTTTGCTCTTGGCCACTCAAAGTCAAAATGATGACGCCAGCGATTAGGCCTTAAACTCTACAATTTTTATCTAAAACATTTTTTTATAAAACTTATAGTTTTTTCAGATATTTTTCCGTCTCGGAATATTTTATATTCCTAATATGAACACACACACACACACACACACACACACGCGCACACACGCACGCACGCATGCACGCCCACACGGGATAAGATTTCTACCTCGTCGTTAATCCTGGATTACGCTACGGAATTATTCTGTAACAAAATATCGTTTTATACATGTGTACATCGTTTTATACATATCTTGGAAAATATATAATAATACGTAATTATATGTGGGATATAATTATATGCAAGATTGGATAATAACTAATTAAAATATTAAAAGTTAAAAAAAAAATTAAAAAGTTAACTTTTAACTTAACTTAATTAATTTTAAATGCATTAAATT